TTGTCTCTCGGTTCCATATTGCATAACACGGTCCGTTTATCTCCTCGTTTGCACGTGCAAATCTCGCTTATGTTCTTTAAGTGCTACAACGATATGACCACTTTTGGATCACGTCGGGTCGCAACCCCGTTTTGTTTCGCACGCGATACCGCGCGATTGCGGTGCGCGGCAGATGGATAATTGACCACGGTGTCGTCATACGCGGTGGCAAGAGGCAGAGAAAAAAAAAGATTATGATGGTAACCGGTGAAAGTAAAGTATCGTTCACATAAGGATTAGATGCGAGATGCAACTGGGAAACTAGTCGGTCGACGCATCAATTCGCATAAGTGCACTAACGTAAGAGTTCGAGAGCTCTGCTCGAGTCGGGCGCACTTTCTATAGACATTTCGTCCATTTTTCCGCTTCTTACAGAACCAGGCGACGTGTTCGTTTCATTTTAACACAAGAACGTGCATGTAACATGAACAAATGTACCTAATTCTTATAATATTTAAAAATGCAACGCACTCGTGAAAGCTTGAACAAATATTCAAGGTATAATTATATATACTCTTGGCTGTATCACGTATTCTGTTATAAAAAATTATTAGATCGCACACATTCTTAAGATTTATAAATTCTCGTGATTAATATGCGTACTTTTCAGTTTCATAAATTTCGGACTTTTTTATTCTATTGGTTCTCTCGGCGCTAAAGTTTTTCGACTCGTTCATAAATATGATTGATTCTTGATATTATCTCGACGTTTTATTTAGTAAATCTTACATTTAAGTTTCATATACCTCCGTGTAGTAAAGCCTTTGACTTTTTTACACTTTTATAATTTCTTAGTTTTTTAGTCTCGTAAAATCTTACTTTTATAAATCTTCTGCTTCTGCTAAACTCTTGATTTAGCAGATCTTTATCTCGATCCTAACAATTTCTCAATACACTAATAATTTACGGCTAGAGTTATAGAATATCTGCAATCTATACTACTTGCACGAATGATAGATTGCTCGACAGTGCGCAACAACGGACAGTAACTAATCGTGCAATTTGCACACAATTTTGTCGCGCGGCGAATAAGTTTACTTGGCATGAAATTAACCTTTGATATAATAAGGAAAAAATCACCGATATTTTACGGGTATCCAAGTTTCATGAATTATGAATTCTCTGACTTTCGACGTGGACTTTCACTGATCCTTACGCAGGACGAGCACTCTTATTCTGCGGTTGCACGTTCACTTCGCGAAGTTCGTTTTTCCAGCATTTATTATACACAATTTACATTATTTAATATTTTAATGTATCAACTGTATCGTGGAGATTAATTCATAGCAGAATGTATAATCGAATTATAATAGTCACCTTTCAATTTAATCATATGAATTATGTGGATTATTAGCTGTTATTAATTTTATACGAACTCTCGAGAATAAATTTCTTCTTTATTATTTACAATTATTAACAAATATCATTGCATATTTTTGACAGATAATATTCTATTACTGATAATCTTAATATTTTCAATTTTCTATGACTCTGTGTTAAGCAGAGTTTGAAACTTTATTAATTTAAATAAATCACATATCGCTACAATTAGAAAGCTAATTTTGCACAACTTGCGCATTTTAACAATTACGTAATGCACATATGCTACCAGTAACCACAAATTTCATCGTTCACGTAATACCGAAAGGGCACTACGTTTCTCTACCGAATCCCATGTAATCCGATATTATCGACTCACTTATGATAGGCGTGGGTAGTTGAAAAGTGGCCCAGTGCGCAATGTAACGGCGTTAGGGTCCGTAGGAAAGAGGCCGAGCGAGTCATGGGCCTCGATTTCTAATTCGTTTAGGGTGTGAACTTGTAGCACGGCCTCCGGCAAAATTTTTCATTATTCCATTATGCATGAGCGAATGGAGTGCTTTCAGATTACTACTGTATTGATATAGATAGGACCCTTAGAAAATTAACTTGTTAAATCCGTCATCACTCTATCCGAAGGACAATCGACTTTTTGTGTTTCGACGATTCATTGCGCGTATCGCCAAATAGGTTCGTGAAAGCAACGTAGGCAAAGAATCGTTTCATATATTCTTAAAACATAGCATTACGCCGATCTGTCACTTTTCACTAAAAATATATTCATCGAAGCAAGTTTTTTTTTATTAACAGTCAGATTTATATGTTTATTTTATTGCTGTTCGCCGAGCTTCAGAAAGATTGAGAGAATATTTCACGGTGACCGGATATTTAAGATGCGATTTCTTAATAAACTAGTATGAGGCAAAATGAGGAAAAATGAGATAAATCAACGTTCCTTTTTAACATTTTTAATTAAAATTTTTTATATTTTATATTTTCTGAAATATTATCTTCTATAAATAAATAAAGACATTTATTCTAACTGAAAGTGTGACCTGTTGTATAATTGAGGGCTTAGCTCCGCTCGATAGCGCCGATTCATCATCGCGGTAAGACTCGGTTCGATTCCCATCGAGGAGCTTCGGTTGACAACGAATTAATGGAGCGCAGTTCGGCCGCTTCGGCTCGTTTACTTTGCGGCTCGCGATTCTTTCGCCGCGGCCCGGCGATCGACGCGAAACGAATCGCTTCATAAAGATTATGAATGAGACCGGCCTCCCACGATGCTTTTATTGCCAACGGGATCGTTCTTTAAGTTTGGTTTTCATATGAGAATAGAAAAAAATAGGATTCCAAAAGTTGACAGGAACATCATTCTGTGGAACTGAGTTCTCAATCTTTGATAACTTTTAACACCTTGTGTGTACATTGTTATAATTTATGTTAAAGATAATACTTTAATAATTTGATAATTTAGTTGGAATTGTTGGGTTTCGAATAAATTTTTGTGAATTAAAATAATCACTATTAATTTTAATACATTTTTTTATGAAAACGAATTCTTATACGCCCGATTTAAGAAATTCCGAGCTCGTAGAATGGAAATCGATAGCTTTATGTGAAATAAATCACGAAGAAGCGACAAATTTTTTGCACTAACTTAGTAATAATAATAATATATAATATTCATTAATTATTTATATTTTTATTTATATTAAAAAAATTTATTTTATATGATTGAATACGTTGAATGATTATAAAGTCATTATAATTTAACTGTTCATTATAATATAATATTATATGTATATGATAGTTTTATTATCAATTTTCAGCGAAATTACTTGAAAGAAATCATTGCTAATCTTGATGTATCTAATTTCTACTTTCTACAAAAGTAGGTTATTTTGACTGTTATTTTCAGATCGAGAAAATTTTACTTGAAACACGTTTCTTCTTGTTTCCACAATTCAGTGGTTAGCTTTCATACAGTGATACTTTAATTACGTGAACAATCTGTGCAGCTCGGTTGTAATTTTCTCGAGCCTTGACGTTTTCCCTCACGGAAGAAATCGCATTGTAGCGAAGCGCAGTGTGCGCAACAGCTATTTGCGAATCTACGGAATTCACGATGCCATGTTCTATGCAGTCTACGTGCGTAATTCTCCGTGCGTTACATTCCGCGGTAGGTATATGTATTCTACGCACGCGGAATGCTACCGATCGTTTATTTCGTAGAGCTCTGATCGAAAAATCTCGTGCCGAGCTGTTAGCGATTGTCCTTATTCTCGTGTAAACAGAAGAACGGTTCTCTGCTAATGGATGAGATAAACTTCCGCATATCGAGGATTGTGTTAGATCCCAGTCTCCATAGCTATATAAATTGTAACGAAATCACGGGTAATTTTTTTCTCACTATCGTAAGAAAAAAATATCGACATATATCTTACAATTAGTGAGACAAATTTCTCATTTGTCAATTAATGGGGATAATAAGTAAACAGTTTTTTAAAGTTTATTCCATCAGCTAATGTACGTGTACAGCTGTATCTACATTCCAAAGTAAATATCTTTAAACATCTCTAACATTACACGTACGATTTTGAGATTATTTGTATAATATATATACTTGTACAAGCTTTCTATCTGAAAACCTGACGTGCCGCTCGATAGGTTGAAAAATAAAGGAGCGAGGAATTAAAATTATGTAATTTTCAATTTGCGCGGAAAAGGGGCGAATCATGAAAGGGCAATCCCCCCCGCAAGGAACACGGTGCCCATACCTCTGCCAGCTGGCAGGTCGAGAACGGGGCTAATGCTGGAGTAAAGGTTATCTAACTAACGAATGACGCTCGGCTTGGTTGCGCTCGCCTTCTCTTCTATATCCTGGGGAGATACATTGCACGCCCCTCGCGGATACAATCCTTACATTCGCGGACACATCCGCCGTCGGTGTTATCGTAATCTCGCCGTCGAGATTCTCACGAGCCCGCCGTCATTCCGTCAGTTCTCCCTCGCCGCATCGCTTCCGTCATAAAAACCAGGAACGAGATGCGCTGTAAATGTGCGCAGAGTGTTTAGTGACTACATCCGTGAGCGAGTCGATTCGTGAGAAAGACCTTTCTGCTCGAAAATTTCTTCATAATTTTTCAATGATATACGGAGACAATTTTATATCAGAAATCATTGTGTACGGCAATAGCCGTGGATTATAAAGGAATTATAAAAATGTTTACTACATTTTTTTCACATAATGGCCATAGTATTTAAATTCACAATTCTTCTTATGGTCCGCGGCTACTGCCGTACATAGTGATTTTTGATATAAAACTTTTCTTTCGTGTATAATATTCAGATATAAGTTTTAATACAATGTATAATTATTCATTTTTCTAACGAAACCAAACATGTTATTTCCTTAAAGAAAATTTTATTTTTAATATCATTTTATCAGTGCGATTAAAAAGTAAGAAATAAACAAATGAAACAAATTGTTTATAAGAATCAAACTCTGCTTTTATCGATTAACTTTATAAAAAAAAAATGTTCTTTGAGTTCACCGATCTTTCATCTGGATTTGGATTCACAAACTTTCGTCCGGATTAACCGGTTTTTTTTTTTTGTTTGTTTGATTTCCTTATTAGCGGAGTCGTTAAATCGATCCTCGACATTTTCTCATGAACGACTTCTCAATGTGATGTGCGGAATGTTTTGTCGAAGGATGCGCAAAGATGCGAAGCAAGTTGATGACTTTCCATCCTCGTGGACACGTTACACGTCGCAAAATGTCAAGGCGTCCCCGCGCGAGTGAAAGGATGCGTCCTGCGGTGCCGGGCAAGCTCGCTTTCCGTTTTTCATCTCCACGCGCGGAATAATTAACAAATTAATAACCAGCCACATCTCTAATCACCCGTCGCGATGAAATCGAAAGGGGCGCACGTTTCAAGGATTATATGCGAGAATAACAAGGTGCAAAAACAGATGCTGACTTCATGGAGAAAACTGAAAATGATAGTAACAATAAAATAATAACTTGAAAAAGTCTTCGTCAAGCAAGGAAGGAAAATGATTAAAGTTAAATTAATATTATGAAAAAAAGGGTTTTCTTCTATCAAAGTAATTAAGAAAAATATTAGACATTACGAAAGAAATATTATCTCACACAATGTATAATTTTAAAAAATTTACAGGTATTTTCAAGCAAAATAATTATAGTAAATATTGATTGTCAAACTTTATTTATTTTAATTAATTTCTAAGCAAATTATATTGTAAATTTTATACTGGCGAGATATTTAACGATTACGATAACCTTAAGAAACAATTTTTAATTTTTTTTCTGTCATGGATGGAAAGAGGCAGGATTTTTATGTCAATTTTTATGCGCTAATTACGAATCCGGATTTTAAAATGCTCCATCATGTCACAATTTTGGGAAATTCAAGATTAAAGTTTTAAAAAAGGGCTATTTTGATGTACTTTATGATGTTATAACTATGATATGCAACTTGTTGGAAAAGTTTATTTTTTTTTAAATAAAGTATATTACTAGAACTTTTAATTGAAAGGTTTTAATCGAAAAGAATTTTTTGTGTATATTTGTGTATATTGTGTATATTTTGTGTATATCCATTATAAATGGATGTAAAAACTGCGAATAAGTCGCTGAATATTTTCAATTTTTATGGAACACATAATGATTTTTAAGATTACTAACTACGATTGTGATGTCAAAATTGACAAATTCAAAATGACATATTTGATATGGTAGATAGTCAGTTTATAAACTATCTGCGGATGTAACAAACACTATATTGAATCGTCAAAATCTTGTTAACCGTAATGTACACAAAAAAATTCCTTTTGACAATTAAAAGTCCTAATAATATACTTTATTTTAAAAACATTTTCTAACATGTTGCATACCATAGTTATAACATCATAAAGTACGCCAAAGTAGCCCTTTTTTACAACTTTAACCTTGAATTTCTCAAAATTGTGACGTGATGGAGTATTTTAAAGTCTGGATTTGTAATCAGCGCATAAAAATTGACATAAAATATCTGTTTCCATCCATGTGACAGAAAAAAAATTAAAAATTGTTGCCAAGTGTAATTAGACATTTACAGTCGTCTGATTTATATCATTTCTTTGATCAATACCGTTGATTAGCATTCGATATATTGTTATTGAATGAGAAAGAAAAGTTATTGAAACAGAAAGAAAAATCGCGAAATGCTAATATGACGAGGAATTAACCATTGATGCATAATTATGATTATTTCCGCAATGAGTTAACGATATTCGCATTCAGATGAAAATCTTTTATACCTCTTTATATTTATGAATATTTATTAGCAATAAAATGCTAATAGCGCACGGAATTATATTTTTTATTTAATTTTTATAATCAATTTTGAAATTTATAAGATACTCAAAATGTCTTGTATGTTTCTTTTACAATTTTTTATTCTTTATATTTTTTTGATAAGGACGATGTGTTCCAATAAGATTATTTTAACTTTTCTATAAAACGCAATAATTATTCAGGAAGCAATGATTTTTTTATTTCAATATAAAGTACAAACATGGCGGTTATATGTGGAATACAATATCTTCCAAATGGCCGCCCCGGCTCTTCTTGCAGACTATCATCTTTTTGTAGAAATGTTGTGCTTTTAGAAATTTTCTATCACATGTTTGCATAAATGTGGCTCTATTTCAACGATAACAACTGCAACATATCATTTGCATCATTTTCTGATAAAATATTCTTATCTTTATTTTAAACAAAAAATTTAAATAATTATTCTTTATGTCAAATCAGATTTTAATTCAGATTTCATTATTAAAAGCATGAAAAATAACTTCGTTTCATGTTTTACGTACAAGTAAGACATGTGCTATAAAATCTTGTTTTTTTTACCGTTGACCTTTAGTTCTGGAATTGTTTTGGATTATTGGCATAGATTTTTCCCTTCACGTATTTCCCCCTCCTCCAAAAAAAAGTCTAATGGTGTTAAATTGCATGATTTTGATGGCCAATTGACGTTCCCTCTTCGAAAAATAACACGACTAGAAAATTTGGAGTACAATAAAGCAATTGTTTCATTAACTGTGTGGCAGGTGGCACTATCCTGTTGAAACTACATATTGTTTAAGTCCATATCATTTTATTTTCGAATACATATCATCGTCTTTAAATACATAATATCATCTTTGAATACAAGATGTTACACAGAATTTTATAAGAAAAATAATTTACTTACCTATTTTTATTAAAAATTGCGTTCCTACGATATTAAATATCGTTTTAATGTAACTATCTGTTGTGCTTTAGAAATTATTTATATGTTTTAATGAGATATATTTTACTTATGGTAACTCACCTCTATAGATTAAAATTATGTGTTTATTAAAATTACAGTACTTTGTAACAATTAACAATTTGTAACAATAATACAGTTAACACCGTCTTGAATTGCGAATGCCAGAGCTATAAATTTAATTGCTATCTTATTTTAATTTAATTGCTGTACTGTTTCGAGAAATCGAACTAAGAGAAATATTCGAAGCTAAAATGATAAATACATTATGATGTAAATAGTTTCTAAGAGATTACAAGTAGTAACAAACATTACTAACATAATAAAGAATGACTGTTGATTTGACTGTTGATATCTAATCGGATAAATTTCTGCATAAAATATAGAAAGTAAATTTGTATGTTGTTTTTTACTATTGTTACAGAAAATGTGTGGAAAATTATACTTTTAAAATAAATAATTTTTAGAATTATGTATACTATGTCAAAATATAAATTAAATATTGTTTCGGTTATAATCAATTTATTTTACATTATAAATTTATTAATATAAATTTTTATACATTGCTACGAATAAAAGAAGAGAGTTACTCGTAAAAAATGAATTATTAAACTTTATTATAAAAGATATTAAACTATTAAAAATAATAGAATATAAAATTTTTATGTAAAGAAAGAGCCATATAGAGGAATAACAAACATACCAAAAGTTTACAATAATCGGGATAATAAATAAATAAAATACTTATGTTTTTATGTATAAATATAAATAAATTCTAACAATTAGATAAACAAAATATTAAAAATAATTGGAACAAACATGGAATAATTTAAAATTGAAAGTAATATTTAATACAACAACAAAAAGAAAATTATAAAAATAATAAATATACGAATGCATGTGAGCAACAAGTAAAATTATTCTCATGGATTCAATTGTTTGTCTATTTGTTTCTCATACGGTACGCGCTCATAGGCGCCCGTAGTTTCTTGATCGTCTTCTGTATTCCAATATTCGTTTCTTTATTTTTTGTTGAACAGCATCAATTAGTTGTTTTCCAATCCTTGCAAGATTATTTTGAACGAATTCACTTACCTAAAACAGATTATTTGATAATATAACGGATGATATTAATAAATATAAGTTTGTCTCTTATTAGAGATAAAAAAATGATAAATTGCTGCGTTAAATGCATTTGGATCAGATACATCACATATGTGACGAATTAAACATAAATAAGTTCAACATGAAAGGGTCAAGTAATGAGAATATTATATGCATATAAGAAAATATACCTTTTTTAATTGTTTTACGTCATGTTCGTGCGTTATAATAACAATTAATATGGCAATTTGGTCAATTGGCCTACAAAAGCAAAGCAACATATTTAGCAAATATGACAAATATCCATAAATATTCAAATATAATCACAAAGAAAAAAGAGTAATCACTTTTTTATGTTGAATTGGAACAATTCAAAACTGTTTAATATATAATTGAGCACTGCATCATTGTTTGAATGTTTCGCAACAATAAGGAGAACAATATTAGCAATTGTTTGATTGTTTGTCACACTAGAATAAAATCCATTTACTGTTACTGTTAAATAACTTCGAATAGTACAAGGATTTGTATAGCAAGTTAAGTATTCTGAATATATATTGTCGTATGTTATATTCGATATAAGCCACAGCAGTATTTTAGTCCAAGTAGTGTAGTTTGCTGTCATTAACCTTTACAGTCTAACCATTCTCTCCATTTGAAAAATCTGCATTACCAGATAAAAAAAAATCTTCTGTACAAACATTTAATTACAATATTTTATAATATTATATTAAAATGATTTATTTAATATAAAGCAATAATTCCACAAAATTTATTCATACATTTATCGTGGCTGCAAAACAACTTACTTGTCTTGTATGGAATTTTCTAGATGTTTTTTTAATCGAAAGGCGGCTGTTTGTCTACATTTATAACTACCGAGAACACATGCCCATTTTACCGCTTCTTCTCTTAAATATTTAGTAAAATTACTTTTATCAAATTTGTCATCGTATCTTATATTTAGCAGAAGTTTATGGAACATTTGATTAATTTTGTTCTAAAAATTGTAAAATACTAGAAATATTAAATTTATCGTATTTAAAAAAAGAAGGTGTAAGTATACTTACACATATACATATTTATTTAACTCTTTCTACATACAGTGTTTTAATATTATACATTATTCATTTTTATAGAAATTTATTCTTATTATAATTTACCTTTATAGTTGAAGTATCTTGAACTGCTCAAACACACGTCATGTATTCAATAGCTTTAATCATAGGGTACCATGCTATATAGTTTGTGTCTTTAACTAGAAAGCTTGTAATATCCCAAAACATGGTGAAATTGAGTTGTCCTTGCGTGAAAAAATAAAACGCGTCATCGATGATTTGGGCTCGATTCAGAACATGAATATCGATACAACTTTCAAAGTACAAATGGTTCGCAAGTTTTTGCCAATTATCAAAATCATAATTGCCGCGATAGTACCCTATGACACAAAAATAATATTTTTATTGTTAGAACATCTTCATCAAATTTATCAAGAAATACTGACAAATATTGTTTTTTCTTTCGAAATATTTTTTTAAATAAATCATTTTTTAATAAAATATTTTAAAATATTAGTTAAAGATATGTCTATTGCAAATAATTAATTGCAAAGTTATTATAAATTAGTAATAAATTAATTTCAAAGATGTAAGCTGCGGATCAACATTGGCCGAAACGTTAAGTGTAATTGTGATTACATACAATATATTAATATATTATTATTAATCTTACATAATATATATAAATATCGGTGGTCAAATTTCGAATAATAGAACATAAGTTACAGAAAATAAAGTTACTGTTTAATATTTATCAGCTTGTTGTAAATTGACAATAATCCAATCATTATTATCAATCCAAAGCATAGAGTAGTGTGGTGTTAGTGAAGATAGCCAACAGTAATTTTTGACATTAGATGTCGCAAAGTTTATAACTGATTTCATCGTATACGTTACATATATTCGGTATTGTTTCATGTCAACAAGTGATGTCAGCAAGTAACGATTGAAATTAATGATGTATAATATATGATATATAATATATTAATGTGTTAATGGAAAAATCTTGTGTTACATATAATACAGGATAATATCCTTCCGTTGACCAAACATCGATTATATCTTTCATATTAAAGCCTATTGTGTTATTTGTTACATTTAGGGCACTTTCCATAGCGGTCCAAAATGGTAGACTAGAAAATAAATTGTTTGCATCTGTCGCGTTTGTCTGATTATACCTGAAAAATTAACATTGCAAAAATTTATTACAAATTATGAAATTACAAAATTTATTAATAATCAAAATTTTCCAATGTTGTTTTAAATCCTTTACATAAAGACTTTAAATATCCTTTACGTAACTAAAAGTAGCGGATTAAACTGTTAATTTTTATGTTTTTGAATAATAGAATTTAAAGCATTAGCATTATGTGCTTTACTGGTTACAATTTACAATTAACATTTTTTGTGTCTTTTTTATCACTATCAAAATATATAGAAAGATATTACTCACTGTATGTTTATATACGTGTTCATACCCAACCAAAACACGTGATCAGATATTAGATGATATAACATGCGCCATACAATGGATGCTGTGACAATTCATATTATAAAGTACTTGTTAAGTAGTTTTTCTTTACTTTTAATATAGTATTAATTACAATTGACATAATAGAAACTAGTATTTCAAAATACTAATCATTTTATTTTTAATTATACTTATATATAATAAGTTCTATCTATAAATGAGTTGTATTTGAATCGATTTGTAGTAAAGTTTTCTTATATTCTGTTATGTATGAATTTAAGAATTTACGTATAATTATCAATATCTTAAAATTACATTTTCTTTGATTCTAAATAATATTTTAGTTATATTTACTTAAACTTACATTTGATATAATAACGGAATTTTCTAAATAGCAGAAATTTGGCATAAAACGAGTGTCGAAACGTAAAGATTCCTGTTGTGTTTGAACGACAAATAAGTCCATCATGCGATAATATAACCGAGTCTGTAAAGCGAGACATGATCGAGAAAATATATAGTCGAGAGTGTATTTGAATTTTGGCATATTATATTTAACGCTGTTGACAGTTGTCATTTGATCGTTTAATAAAATTATAAAGTTATAAAGTCTAAAAATGTAGTAGTAGTATATTAACAGTAAAAATATAAAGAAACCTGATTCAAAATATGCGCTGCAAGAAATGTAATAAATCCTTCTTTGGACCACAGAAACACATCATCGTACCACTGAGATATCGTTTTACGTGCTACTAAGTTCGCCACTTTTATTTTGCGGGCAATGTCATCTAAGGTATTATTATAAATAATATCTTCTTCCCTGAAAATTGTTTTCAAGTATAATAAATATAAACAAAACTTTTATTTTTATTATGCAATTTAATAAATTTGGTATTGACTTTATAGTAGATACAATTTATCACGCAGACACAAATAAACATTTATTAAGTTTAGTTGAAATTAAATTTAAAGATAAACCAGTAATAAAGTTAAATCTAAATTTGAAAAAAAAAATGAAATATTTAAAGAACCTTGTGTCTTTATATATTTTTAGTAAACAATATATATTATATTCTCAATGAAATAACATGACAATAACTATTTTGCTTTTAATTTTACATATTTACATAGAGTTTATTTAAGAAGGAAGAAAAATTAATATTTTTGAGTATTTCTGCATCAGCATTACGTGCGCAATGTGTATAACATTTAAAATGATAAGAATTTTGTTGATTTTGTCTCATTATTATTGGTGGAAAAAATAAGCTTTTGTAGTATATTTCTTGTACGTAAAACGTAAATCGCAATTATTTTTCATGCTGTGTGTAATAAAATCCGAATTAAAATCTGATTTAACGTAAAAATAATTATCTAAATATTTTCTTTAAAATAGAAATAAGAATAAAGATAAGAATTTGATCAGAAAAAGTGATATGTTTTAGTTATTTTCCAATAATCATACTAACATATATTTTTCATTTTAGAATATTATATTAGTTAGATAAATATATTTATTTAATTTTACTTTTGATTTTAATTTTTGTTTATATTAATAAGTATTACCTTAATAGAATGAATCTCCGTGTCTTTATGTTACTGTGTTGAAAGTCCTTAGTTACAATGTAATCTATTTTTGATATTTTTCTTGAAATTTTTTGTGCCAAATAGTGCACGACTCTATGGACAATGTTTTCTGCAAATCGCAACTGGTCTATCTCATCCCTTTTCTATACCAAATTTTAACATTTCTATTAGAGGCGAAGAAATTAGTGAATGTGGTTATCACAATGGTTAAATGTTGAGCGGACATTAAAGGTGATGTGTCAAAATAAGTCCACAGCATGTTATGCATATCTTCAACTTGTTTTTGTATCGGCATAGATGATAAAAATGTGTAGTTTTTATGGTGCCAAATAGAAATTTTAAAGGTTGATTTGAATACTGGCTCGTTCAAATATGGAAATAGTTCTCCTGCTCTTATTACTTTGTTTAATCTATTTTATTTTAAATGTATGATTAATATAAAATTATACCACAATTTGATTAAAAATTTGAATATATTAACTTACAGTTTGTCTTTTTCTTTGACTATGTCAAAAGATTCAAAAAAGTCTCCGTCATCTAATATGCTACTGACATATATTATTTTTAAGATATACGTACCAGGAGATAATAAATCTACTGATGATTGGATAAAATCAAAATAAATGTACGTTTTATCGATAAATGAAAATTTCTGGATGTTGATTGTTTGATTAACATTCTTGTCAATCAAGTCAATTTTTGCTATACCGAAAATCTTTGAACTCATCATAGTTATATTTTTCGTTGCACGATTAATCTGGATGATAATATTGCATTTCGCAGAAAAGACATTATTGTATCCGTCAAATTTTATTTTTACATCATAATGCAATGGTTTTAAAGTGTTTTCCGAAACATTGTAATTCAATTCAGTCTCATTTTTCGTCAATTTTATAGTAGATAGTATAATTATGAGTATTAATATTAATCTGACATTTAATAAAATATGTCGTAATGCCATATCAATTTCCATTTAAAGCCTCTGCAAGAAGAATTTCTTGATTAAAAATAAACATATACATTTGCAACATATTCTATTTAACTTCTATGTACGAAAAATAAAGATTATATAACAACTATTGCAGTTAATTGTATTAAAGCGGTAGATAACGATAGCAGACGATAGATAATTATTACATTAATCTCAGCTCACGTAATATAAATCGAAAAAGAAAAAATTTAAAAGAATCGTTAAATATAATCGTCAGCACAAGAATATGTTTTGAAGAATATAAATCTGTATTTGTGAGTTTAGAAATTTGTTATATGTTTTAATGAGAAATACTTCGCTTATGGTAACTCACCTTTACAGATTAAAATTATTTGTTTATTAAAATTACAGTACTTTGTAACAATTAACAATTTGTAACAATAGTACAGTTAACACCGTCTTGAATTGCGAATGCCAGAGGTATATAAACTTAATCGCTGTCTTACTGTTTTGAAAAATCATCGAACACTGAGAGAAATGTTGGAAGCAAACATAATAAATACATTATGTGATATAAGTAGTTTCTACAAGGTTACACAGTAACAACCACTATACTAAACAATGGAGAAGCGAATAAATTTTGGTATGTAATAAATTTTGATAATGTAAGCCGATAAATGTGTGCATAAAGTATAGAAAATAAATTGATTGTTTTTATCTGTTGTTACAGAAAATGTGTGGAGTGTTATTTTTTTAAAGTAAATAATTTTTAGAATTATGTGTATGTCAAGATACATATTTAATATTTTTTCGTACATACTCAATTTTAATTAAATTATAAATTTATTGATATAAATTTTTATATATTGTTATGAATAAAAGGAGAGAATTAGTCGTAAAAAAATGAATTATTAAGCATTATTATAAAAGATTTTATAATGTTAAAAATAATAAAATATTCTAAAATTTTAATGTATGAAAAAGGACCAAATAAAGAAATAACAAGCATAACAGAAAGTTACAATACCAGGGACAATAAATAATATGTTAAAAATAATTAGAACAAAAATGAAACAATTTAAAATTGAGAAGTAATATTTAATACAACAATAAGAAGGGAATTACAAAAATGATTAATATATGAATGCATTTGAGCAGCAATTAAAATTATTCTCTTCCATGGATTCAATTGTTTGCATATTTGTTTCTCATACGGTAGGCGCTGATAGGCGCCCGTAGTTTCTTGATCTTTTGTATTCCAATTTTCGTTTCTTTATCTTTAGTTTAACTGCATTAATTAGTTGCTTCTCACTCATCGTTATATTATTTTTAACGAATTCATTTATCTAAAACAGATTATTAAATAATATATCAGACAATATAAATAAATATAAATTTTTATTCTACTACAGTTTTAAGCATTATAATTTGCTGTATTAAGTATATTCAGATATGTTTCGATATCATATATGTTACAATTTTAAAATAAACACTTTTAGTATAACAGGGCCAAGTAATGAGAATATTATATGCATAAAAGAAAATATACCTTTGTTAATTGTTTTACGTCATGTTCGTGCGTTATAATAACAATTAATATGGCAATTTGGTCAATTGGCCTACAAAAGCAAAGCAACATATTTAGCAAATATAACAAATATTCATAAATATTCAAATATGATCATAAAGAAAAAAGAGTAATCACTTTTTTATGTTGAATTGGAACAATTCAAAACTGTTTAATATATAATTGAGCACTGCATCATTGTTTGAATGTTTCGCAACAATAAGGAGAACAATATTAGCAATCGTTTGATTGTTTGCCACCCTGGAATAAAATCCATTTAGTATTGCTGTTAAATAACTTTGAATAAGATGAGGATTTGTATAGCAAGTTAAGTATTCTAAATATATATTGTCGTATGTTATATTTGATGTATGCCGCAGCAGTATTTTAGTCCAAATAGTGTAGCTTGCTGTCATTAAACCTTTACAGTATATCCATTCTCTCCATTTGAAAAATCTGCATTACCAGGTAAAAAGAAATATTCTATACAAACATTTATATATATATAATTACAATATTTTATATTATATTAAAATAATTTATTTAATATAAAACAATAATGCCACAAAGAGTTTATTCATACATTTATCGTGGCTGCAAAGCAACTTACTTGTCTTGTGCAGAACTTTCAAAATGTTTTTCTAATTGAAAGGCGGCTGTTTGTCTACATTTATAACTACCGAGAACACATGCCCATTTTACCGCTTCTTCTCTTAAACATTTAGTAAAATCACTTTCATCAAGCTTGTCATTGTATCCTATATTTAGCAGAAGTTTATCGAATATTTCTCTGATGTTGTTCTAAAAATTGTAAAATAATAGAAATATGAAATTTATTGTATTTTTTAAAAAAAAGATGTAAGTATACTTACACATACATATATTTGTTTAACTTCTTTTATATGCACTGTTTTAATATTATACATTATTTATTTTTATAGAAATTTATTCTTATTATAATTTACCTTTATAGTTGAAGTATCTTGAACTGCCCAGACACACGTCATGTATTCAACAGCTTTAATCATAGGATACCATGCTACATAGTCTGTGTCTTTATGTAGAAATCTTGTAATATCCCAAAACATGGTGAAATTGAGTTGTTTTTGCGTCAGAAAGTAAAACGCGTCATCAATGATTTGGGCTCGATTCAGAACATGAATATCGGTGTAATTTACATAGTACAAATGGATCGCAAGTTTTTGCCAGTTATCAAAATCATAATTGACGCGGTAGTACCCTATGATACAAAAATAATATTTTTATTCTTAGAATGTCTTCATCAAATTTATCAATGCTGTCAAATATCTTTCTTTTTTTTTAAACATTTTCTTAAATAAATAATTTTGTAATAAAATATTTTAAAATGTTAGTTAAAAATATGTCTATTGCAAATAATTAATTGCAAAGTTACTTTAAATTAATAATTAATTAATTTCAATGATGTAAGCTGCGGATCAATATTGGTCAAAATGTTAAGTATAATTGTGATTACTTATAATATATTAATATACTATTAAATTTTGTATAATATCTACAAATATTAAAAATTTTCAAATAAACAGTAAAAAACATAAATATTTCTATTGGTTAAATATCGAATAATTGAACTTCAGTTACAGAAAATAAAGATACTGTTTAATATTTACCAGCTTGTTTTAAATTGACTATAATCCAATCATTTTTGTCATTCTTCTTCTTTGTAATTCGCGATTTTTGTTGATAAAGCCAAAAGTAATTATAGTCATTTGATTTTGTTTTACATGTCACTAATACGAAATGTCTCGCGTTTTTGTTGAATTTAGAATTGATGTACTCTCGGTATACTGTCTTATTATGCACATAAATTCTATTCACCAGCAGTTGAGGATATCTTTTTTCCTTTATCCAAATATTCATTATATCTGTTATGTTTACACGGCGTAGGTTGCGATTATTCAAAATAATTTGTATAACATTCCACAATTGATCGATCTGTATCGTATTCGACTGATTATATCTATAAAAAGAAAAATGTTTTACAGTGTACAGCACATGAACATTTATTTGCTTGCAGGAAATTATTATTTAATTTACTCAAATATAAAATTATGTTTGTAAAATAAGATATAATATAAATATTTAAATGCAGTAAATTTGTTATGAGATTTGAAAATAGTCTTTATTTTTCTCGTTCAATAGTTGGGGGTTATCTAAGTTTTTTCTTAATAAAATTGTATAAGTAGAAATCTTTATTTAAGAAAATATCTCATTTGCATACATTTTAATTTTATTTTTTGTAACTAATGTCTTAACGTTATAAATATATATTAACAAGTTTGGAATTATGTAAAGAATAAAATAATTTATTTATCTATGATTTTGAACATTAGTTTTCAAAAAATTGTTAATTGTAAAGTTAAATTGTACAAATTTCAAAAATCCACTATTTTAATTTACATTAAGAATAAAATTTTAATTTTTATAATCAGCCTTATATTGTTTTTAGGATAGATAAAAGATAGCTCAATAAATTTTAAAGAATTTATATCTAGGATCTCTGACTATAATATAAATAATGTTATTTTCTTTCAATGTTTAATTTTTTGCTGTGTAAAAACTATGAAGAGATATTACTCACTGTATGTCTATATATGTATGGATACCAGTCCAGAACACATTATCAGATGATATAACACGTATTAGATGATATAACATGCGCCATATAATGGATGCTGTTACAATTCAAATTATAAAGTACTTGTTAAATAGTTTAAAGTTTTTTTTTTATTTTTAAAATAGTATTAATTACTATTGACATAATAGTAATTAGTATTTTAAAATAGTATTAATTTATATTATTAATATACTTTTAATAAGTTTTATGTATAAATAAGTTGTATTTTAATCCATTTGTAGTTAAATTTTTTTATATTCTGTTATATACGAATTTAAGAATTTACATACAATTATCAATATTTTTAAATTATATTTTCTTTAATTATAAGTAATATTTTAGTTATATTTACTTAAACTTACATTTGATATAATAAAAGGATGTTCTAAGTGGCAGAGAATCTGTAGGAAGCATATCGAAACGTAAAGATTCCTGTTGTGTTTGAACAACAAATAAGTCCATCATGCGATCATATAACCGAGTCTGTAAAGCGAGACATGATCAAGGAAATATATGTGCCAGTTATTATGAAAGTGGCCTAAGTCATATATTTCTCGTTTCGAGATATTCAAACTTTTGCGTTTGACCATATTAAAAATATTTTTCCATCATGGTGCAAAATTTATCAAAAATTATAATGTTCTTCTGATGTTAAATTTATCTAAGATTATTAAATTTTATGAATAACTTGCACAAAACTGTGTGTTTTTAACCGTTGAATGACTTATGCCACTTTCAAAATTAATAGTAGTCCTAATTGATGATTTACGATAACAAAAAATTAATAAATTTAATTGAAAAAATAACTTAAAAAGAAACAAATTTATTTACTTTTAGAATTGTATTATCTATTTTAATTGTATTAATTATTTTTTTAAAATTATTTTTTTAATTATTTTTAATTATTTTATCCGTTTCCATTTCTTGCAAACATTATTTCGTGGTACTAAGTCTATGAAACACAACGATCAAAATAATCTTATTTAATAATTTAATGTTTCGCAAAATTATTACGGCAATTTAATTATATTAAGTATTATTTACATTATTGATATTACCTGTATAAATAAATATGAAATATTTTTGTAAAGTTAAATTTACCTGAGCCGCTGTCGGACGACATAATAGAAAAATATGTTGAAAATTATGATAATGTCACTTTTTCTATCGCAATGTTAGAAAAAAAATGACTTATACCACTATCAAAATAAGCATGCAATTACACCTGATAATAATAAAAATGACAACTTCATTTTATTGCTTATTTCATGGAAACTTTGCAAAAATTCTTCCATAATAATGAAATATAGTTGATATAATATAATACTAAATAAAAATCTACTTTTTTTTTGGTTTTGTGACTTAGGCCACTTTCATAATAACCGGCACATATAGTCGAGAGTGTATTTGAATTTTGGCATATTATATTTAATTTAGCTGTTGGCAGTTGTTATTTCATCGTTTAATAAAGTTATAAAGTCTAAAAATGTAGTAGTATATTAACAGTAAAAATATAAAGAAACCTGATTCAAAATATGCGCTGCAAGAAATGTAATAAATCCTTCTTTGGACCACAGAAACACATCATCGTACCACTGAGATATCGTTTCACGTGCTACTAAGTTCGCCACTTTTATTTTGCGGGCAATGTCATCTAAGGTATTATTATAAATAATATCTTCTTCCCTGAAAATTGTTTTCAAATATAATAAATATAAACAAAACTTTTATTTTTATTATGCAATTTAATAAATTTGGTATTGACTTTATAGTAGATACAATTTATCACGCAGACACAAATAAACATTTATTAAGTTTAGTTGAAATTAAATTTAAAGATAAACCAGTAATAAAGTTAAATCTAAATTAAAAAAAAAATTGAAATATTTAAAGGACCTTGTGTCTTTATATATTTTTAGTAAACAATATATATTATATTCTCAATGAAATAACATGACAATAACTATTTTGCTTTTAATTTTACATATGTACATAGAATTTATTTAAGAAAGAAAAAAAATATTTTGGGCATTTCTACATCAGTATTACGTGCGAAATATGTATAACATTTAAAATGATAAGAATTTTGTTGATTGTGTCTCATTATTATTAGTGGAAAATATAAGCTTTTGTACTATACTTTTTACCTGTATTTAAAACGTAAATCGCAATTATTTTTCATGCTTTGAGTAATAAAATCAGAGTTAAAATCTGATTCGACGTAGAAATAATTATTTAAATTTTTCGTTTAAATAAAAATATGGATAAAGATAAGAATTTAATCAGAAAGAGTGATACAAGTGATATGTTTTAGTTATTTTTTAATAATCATGCTAACATTAACATATTTTTTTAATTTTGGAATATTATAGATATATTTATTATTATAGATATATTATAAATATATTTATCTAATTTTAATTTGGTTTTAATGTTTGTTGTTATTAATGAATATTACCTTAATAAAATGAATCCCCGTGTCTTTATGTTAAAGTGTTGAAAGTCCTTAATTACAATGTAATTTATTTTTGATATTTTTCTTGTATTTTTTTGTGCCAAATAGTGCACGACTCCTTGGGCAATGGTTTTTGCATATCGTATTTGTTCTGTTATCTCTTTTCTACACCAAATTTTCATATTTGCAATAGAAGTTAAGTAAATTGCGCTATAATTGAATGTTGTCATCACGATTGTTAAAGATTCAACAGACATTGGAGGTGATGTGTCAAAATGAGTCCACAGCATGTTATCCATATCTTCAACTTGTTTTTGTATCGGCATAGATGATAAAAATGTGTAGTTTTCATGGTGCCAAATAGAAATTTTAAAGGTTGATTTGAATACTGGCTCGTCCAAATATGGAAATAGTTCTCCTGCTCTTATTACTTTGTTTAATCTATTTTATTTTAAATGTATGATTAATATAAAATTAATACCACAATTTGATTAAAAATTTGAATATATTAACTTACAGTTTGTCTTTTTCTTTGACTATGTCAAAAGATTCAAAAAAGTCTCCGTCATCTAATATGCTACTGACATATATCATTTTTAAGATATACGTACCAGGAGATAATAAATCTACTGATGATTGGATAAAATCAAAATAAATGTACGTTTTATCGATAAATGAAAATTTCTGGATGTTGATTGTTTGATTATCATTGTTGTCAATCAAGTCAATTTTTACTATACCAAAAATCTTTGAACTTATCATAGTTATATTTCTTATTGCACGATTAATCTGAATGATAATATTGCATTTCCCAAAAAAGACATTTCTGTATACGTCAAATTTTATTTTTACATTATAATGCAATGCTTTCAAATAAGTGTCATTAAATACATTGTAATTCAGTTCAGTCTCATTTTTCGTCAATTTTGCGGTAAATAGTATAATTATTAGTATTAATATTAATCCGACATTTAATAAGATATGTCGAAACGCCATACTAATTTTCATTCAAAACCTCTGAAAGAAGAATTTCTTGATTGAAAATAAACATATACATATGCAACACATTTTGTTTAACTTTATATACGAAAAATAAAGATTATATATAACAACTATTGCAGTTAATCGTACTAAAGCGGTGTAGGATTTTCATGAAAAAAGGCAAAAAGAGAAAAAGAATTATTTCCGGTAGTAGCGAAAGAAGAAACGAAATTTTAATTACGAG